TGTGTCACCAATAAGAAACAAACACGTTAATCGACATTTAATTAATAATCCAATTACCTACAACCACAATATTTAGTTTGCAAATTTAATTTTAAAAAATTTGATCTCCCTAGTATTACTCTTTTGAGTAACTTGTGGGTTGGATTTTGATTTGCAATTCAATGCTGTTTATGTGAAACTTGACTCACCACATCTTCTAGAAACATCTTTAAATGTTTAAAAAGAAAAAAATTTCAGAAGTACTTTTAAAGTTCGTTGGGAAGTGCTTTTAAAATAACTAAGAGGTTGGGAAGTTTTTAAATAACTAAGAGCGCTTTAATTTAATGTTATAAATAGGGAAAGTGAGAAAGAGATAACTTTTACTAAGATAGAAGTGGAATGGATGCAATGTATCACATTGTTTATTTTTCGTAATTGTCTCACACAAATGATGCAGGTAAAGATGGTGATAGGGATTTTACCACTTGCAAAAGTAGAGATAAAAATACTTAAAAATACTTGCAAGAGTACAAGGTTATCGAAGTATAGCGGCTCAAGCAAGGTTTTTTCGCAGGGATTGAATGAATAATTTATTTAAAATCAAATCTTAATTAATTATTTGAAAACAAAGTTTAGAAAAAGGTGATTTAATGACCTAAAATATTAAAAACGAATTTAATTAAAAACAATTAAATAAATTGAGAAAGTAAAGAAAACCAAAAGAAAATAGTTTTGCAATCTATTTAAGTACTAGGGTTTGCCGTAACCTTAACAATCATACATAGTTCTTCCAATTACTTATGAATTACACATGCATATTTTGAAGGTTAGATTTCCTAAAGTATGCCCTACTTGGAACCTCCAACATAGAACGTATATCTAACATGCACCTGTCCGTGGCGTCTAGATCGAATATGAACACAAGACTCATTAAGTTTTGTGAAAACCTTTTGAAAAACCATACAACCCTTAAGACATGTCGTCCATCTTAAGAAGTTACACATATTAACCACAAGAAGCCATCGGCAAATTCAGGGACAGCCCTCCGTCAAAATTGCATCAAATTACTTTTCTAAATATTCTAATGGTGGCCAATCATCAAGACAATTAGATAGTTTAAAGCACAATGATTAATAATTCAAAACTTGAGTGCATAATATCATAAGCAAATTGAAAAGAAACTACATATTCTTGCTAAAGTTCGTGGCCTCGCTCTAGCAAACAAAACTAGTTACTAACAACCATAAAACAAAATATTATTAAAAACATGGATAGAAAGCACCTTGAGAATACAAAGTAATGCATTCTCTCCCCTTATCTCCCTAATGGCTAAAAAGCCTTATTTATACTACTACAAAATAAAATTCTTCCTATAAAAGGACTTAGAATAAAACTAGGAAACATAATAAAATAATAAAACAGAAAATAAAAGGTCTCCTATTTGAACTAAAATTCAGAGTTCTGAAAATTAATCTTTTGACCAACCAAATAAACTCCGATTTGGTCTCAAAAGGTCTTTTTTTAAAGCTAAAGACGTCCTCAACAAATCCTCAGAGGGAATCTTCATCAAATATGCCATCTTGACCTTCAAAATACTCAAAACGTCCAAAAACATCAATCTGAGAAAGCTAGGCGCTGGACCTTTATTTCATCGCCACGGTCAAATGGCTTGGTAGAAAATTCTGATACTTTGACACAATCATCTTGAAAGACTCATGAACATAGTCCAATTGGAATCACTCCAAAATTCATCCGTTTGGTTACTTTTTGCACCAGAGGAAGTCGAATGTCCTATATTAAAAATATATAACAAAGTATCAAAATTCTACCAAAATAACTAATAAACTATAACTAAGATTAGGGTAAAATATATATTATAATATCGACTCATCAGATGGGAAAGGGATATTGGTATTATTGCTTTCGATCTTGATATTATGTATTGTTTGATCATACATTGCATGCTCTTTATATAGAGCAAATTACGTGCAAAAGTCTACAAGGAAAATTAATACATGTTGAAAAAATGCCATACAACAACAAATTATGACAATACTACTATTTCTAGTCCTTTTTGTTTTTCACTTTTGGTTAAACCATGTGGGTATTCAATTCCCATAGTTTTTACAACATTAAATGTTTTTTTTGGATGAAGTATCATATTTGTTTTTCTTACATGTCATTTAAATGTTTTTCTAAAATCCACTTGAATTGTTACTAAATATCACCCAGAGTAATGCTAGGGAGATTGAATTTGTAGACTAAGTTTTGTAAACTAAATGATATGGAAGTTGATAATTGGATTATTACTTAAAAGTTGATAAACGTGCTCATTTCTTATTAGTGGTACATTATTTAGTTTGCAATTTTAATTTATAAATTTAGTCTCCCTAGAATTATTGTATCACCAAAAACACTTACAGTTCTAAATGAGTACTTAACTTTTTTCGGCTAAATATTGTCAAAATTGCTTTTTATAATCTAAAAATACTGTCAATTGTTTTTAAAGGACAATGATTCTCTCCCCTCCTTTTACATTCTCTATTTTATTTTTCTCCTTCTATAAAAAATTAATATAAGACGTTGACATGACTTAACCTTTAACCATTCAAATAGGAGGAGAGGGAAGATGAGAGAAAAAAAGAGAGGAGATAATCCTATTCCGTTTTTTAAAAACACTTTCATTCGAATATTGGGCCCTTTAACCAAATAGGCCTCTATAATTTAAAACCTGCGATCCCATTCTATAAGTCCAAGTCTTATCTAACGCGACAAATGGGCCGCTGCAAATTCGGCACAATTCGTTGTGCCCCATTCGTAGTGTCACAAGACATGTGTGGCTAGGGGTGGAATCGAATAGGTAACTGAAATGTAAGGCGAAATCACAAACCAACGAACACTTGTAGGGACGAGTAAATCGCAACCGGCACTGACACGGCCAAGTCAGTTTACCCACTTTTAGTTAACCGATTTGGTCGACCGGAAGAAATCGATAGAGTTGAGTTTTTCGGATGATTTAGGTGAGGCAAAAAGGGGAGGACAGTATTACGAACCCATTCTCAAAGCTTGCAATTGATCTCCAAACAACAGTCCTGGTGGCGATGAGAAGGAGAGAATAGAGAGAAGCCGGAGGAGACGATTATGGCATTGTTGTGCACATGAATATGTGATGTAAATGACATTCATTTTCTTCTTTTTGAAAAGGATTGAAAGATGTACGTCGGATCTCAAGATACGTACAAAATTAATGCGCGATATCAAGATGTAATGGTACAATAAGTACGAAGAGTTTATTAAAACTCATACATACATTATATCAGAGAATTAACGACAGTTACAATAAACACTAGTTCAACAATGAATTGAGGCATTAATCTAAATATAATAATAAAAGTTTACAAACCCTACTCTTAGGTGTCACTGCCAGCATGCTAAACTACTCTCAATCCCTCAGCTCGAACCCCTGATCTAAAAGTTTGCAAGAAAGACAGCTACATTATGGGGAAGTGTATCGTGTTACACAAAATACCTGATAAGTTATGAAACTTGTGAAATGACAAACAATAACATATAGTTTACAACCAAAATGGTACAAAAGCATGCAGTCTCAATTCCTAATTTAGCACTTGACACATTCAAATCACCAACACCAGTTTTATTCCCTAAAACACAATCACATGCTCTTCCTTTTACTCATATGATCCAAGAGCAAGCAAGTTTTGAGGTTTTTTTTATTTTATTTTTTATTTTTTTATTTTTTTTAAGTAAAACTAGCCTCTCTGCACGCACTAACGTGCGTGCGAGAGGCATTTTGCATCACGGGCGCTACGCGCCCCAAAGATGTGTTGTTTTAGATATTCTTATATTTCTTAAGTGATTATTTTATAAATTGTGTTTGTGTCCATCACAACAATTTCTTATTATTTTCAATTTTTTATTATGTTCAATCATCTAACTTAGTCTTTTTGCACCTGTTCATTGTACCCAAAAATGAAATTTATGAATTGTACACTAACCAATCCACCTTTTTTTTTTTTTTTTTTTTTGCTTGCTAATTATTATGGTGTCTTTTTTTTTTTTTTTGGCTGATAGAATTTGATTTCACGAAATGAGCTATGTTTGATCATTATTATGACTTTGGTAATTAAGTTACTCAGTCTAGTTAGAATTTTGTTATCTCCATCAGTACCATTTTACCCTTATATATTGTACAGAAGAAGATCAAGAGTTAGGTTCCTTAAACTCTCAATAAAATAAAAAATATATGCTTAATTATTTAATGTTGTATAGAAAATATGAAATGATCAATATATTTTGTAACATGAGGATTAGTGGCTGTATTAAAAGGGTGCACAACAACATTTTTTTATTATGGTGGAGAAAAAGGTATTATGGGCAATATTTGGCGTCATTCGAGCAGGTTGGCAGATCATTTGTTCAATGGTTGTGTGAATGGGATACTTGATGCAGTTAGAGGAGTGAGTACGTAATTATGGGTGTGCCATTTTGGGTTGGGACTGAGATGTTCAACATTAGAGCATGGGTCAGGCTACGTAGTTCCAATTGCTTGAGTTGAAGAAAGGTTGATGAGATAATGATGTTACCGTAAATCATCCCATCATTCCAAAGTGATAATGGTGTTATTGCATGCCATATTGTCATATTGCCACATTTGTTGAATAATTTAGGAGCATATATTCCATCCAATTTGCACATATGTGAGTAATCTCTCATACATTTTTTACTATTTTTTCTTTAAAACAACAACGAAGATAAAATGGGAAAACATATACTATTTATATAAAAAAAATATGAAAATATGACATGTAATTTGATTTCTAAATACATATTGACAACACTTAATGTCCTTAAATCAAAATTGTTTCAGATTATAAGTTTTCAATCAAAGTTATAGGCTAGCTAGGGATGAACTCCTAATATATGAAGCAAAGCAAAATATGGACAACATGTACATATGTAAACATAGCGCCTACGTGTGAAATCAAAGCCATGCTTGCCACCCATTTGCTTGCACTTGATGCTTTAGATTTTCATGGTTAATCTGCAAGCAATGATGATAAAATAAGAAGTCTAACTATAATGCACAATCCCAACTATAAAGATTGTAAGCAACTTAACCTAAATACCTTTAAGTTTGACAATTTTCTCATGGCAATACTTTTACTCCAGTTACTTGTAGAATACTAAAGATAAATATATTTGTCAAGTTTGAGGTAACAAATTGTAACCATATTTACAAAATTAAATAATAAGAAATATTACCTTAATCTTGTACTTCAACCTTTGTACTTTGAGACGGGTGTGATGCTTGTAAAACTGACAAAAAATGCAATTTTATTTATATTTGAAAATTGAATGCAATTTGAATTTATAGTATACTTTTGTATGAAAATAAGAGAAGACTTACTATATTTAGAAAAGTTGTTTGGCCACTGTTAATTTTTTTCTGCACCCATAAATTGTTTTATTTTATTTTATAATTTGAGATAATTAATTTGTAGAATGATATAGAGAATGCCATTAAAAATAAATAGGTAAGAAATGGTGTTGTACCTTATTTGTTGGACTTTATTCCAAATACGTATGATCTGAGGAGTTGTTGAAGGTTTTAATTCTTCCATAGCCTTTTTCATGCGCCGCCTATATATTGAAGGTATATATAATGTTAGATTTCTTGTAACAAATTTGTATATAATTTAGGATACATACTGCTCATGCTTCTTCTTTTTCCACTCTTTGAGAATCAGTTGGCTTAGATCAGTAGTTTTTACTCCGACAGATATATCCCAACCAGGTGTAAAAATAGAGACACGTCTGTTTGAGATCTTATCAATAGGTTCCTTCTTCATTTTTTGTGGGTATTCTTGTAAATATCCTAAGAATGAAAACAAATAATTTTTAAAATTACCATAGCACACGTATAGCACATTAAGATAATCAAAAGTGAAACTCATAATCTGACCGAAATTTTAAAAAACACACAATGAAGATTTCAAAGGAAGAAGTTAAAAGAACCCATATGAAGCTAAACCTGGATATTCATACAATTACATATTATGCTTACATGAAAATGTGTAAAATGAGTACAACCATGCAGGAAAAAAGTGAAAAAAAGAAGCTTACACCTAGATTAATTTCCTTTCTACGCCTGGGAGAGGGAGTGGGAGAAGAATGGCAAAGCAAAAAAGCGAAAAAATTGAAATAAAGAAGAATGATGACTCGGGCGTTGCTTAATACCTGTTTTATCCTACGTTGGAGTGTGAGAGTCTGTAAAACCAAGCAACAACTGTTGATAGCAGTTGTATAACTGAGGGGAAAATTAACATTTGAATTTGGATATGGGAAAATAAGTAGGAACAGAAAAAATGATTATACGAACGGGGAAGTTAGTGCTTGTAGTGGGCAAGCTTCACGGTTTTTTGAAAACCCACGCAACCTTTACCCCATTCTTTCTCCCACGTTGGTTTCATTTATTTATTTTTTTTTTTAATCTATATATCATTTTATAAGATATTAGTATCTCCTCCTAGAATGGATAGAAATTTGTTGGAGACATCCTAATCCGTCTAAATTAGTTGGACCATATGCATATGTTAGTATAATGTATTAGATACTTTTTTTAATATAGATATTAATATTTTCTCCTAAAATGGAGGAGAAGTTATTCCGTTCTTGTTGTTTTATTTGTTTTTTTCCCCAACATAACAAATTTGAATTTCTCTGTTTAATATCTCTCTCCTAAAATAGAAAGCAGTTATTCACCATGTGGCCTTTTTTTTAACTTTATTTTTTAATATTTATCTCCTAAAATGATGTTCTCGACTTTATTTTTTTAATTTGTTTTTGTTGCCTTTATCATTTATCTCTCTCCTCCCATAAACTGCTATCTTTTAGAGGATAATTATCATGATTTTTATCTCCTCCTAAAATGGATAGAAATTGGTAGTTGAAACATCCTAATCCATCTAAATTGAGTCAGACGCAGATATTAGTATTAATTTTTAGTTTTTTTAATATAGATATTAATATTTCTCCTAAAATGGAGAAGAGTTATTCCGTTCTGTTTTGTTTTGTTTTTTTTTTCCAACATAACAAATTTTAATTTTTCTGTTTATATCTCTCTCCTAAAATGGAGAGCAGTTATTCACATGTGGCCATTTTTTTCACTTTATTTTTTAATATTTATCTCCTAAAATGGTGTTCTCCACTT